GAGTTTGGGCAAGTCCTGAACTGTGTTTTAACAACTGGTGAGGGAGCGGGTCTAGATGACTTATGTCAAGGTATCGTCAAGCGCTACAGGGATGCTGATGAGCCAGAGCCAGATGTCATTTATGTTGACAGGGATTGCTGCAGTGAGACAGGTGTGTGACCTTCAATCTTCTCCTACCAGGAATTTTCACTTTTTTTTCACCCCAAAATGAATGATGTTGCAAAAGACATTCTCAAAATTTGTGGTGATATTTGTTTCATTACCAACCAATGATCATTATGTAATTGGTGTTAGCACTTGCACAGATCAATATTATTAATGTCAGGTCTGAGCTGATCATAACTAAAACCACGTATTCACTATAGAAGTTTCCATGACTTTATAGGATTTTGTTAATTACCATGACTTTGTCAATCCTGGAAATCACATATTTAAACCTTCCCTGATACTTCCAGTTTTACATGAATGTGGGAACCCTGAACCTGGGCTCTCATAGCCTTGAAATATAAGAAAATGCATAAATGCTTTCCTTGTCTTTCACTGGTACAGGTGTAACACCAGTTCTTACCTGGTTTCGACCATGGAAAGTCAAAGTGAGACTTGATGTTTTCCACTTTATGAGGAGATTCACTACTGGTCTTACAACAGAGCACCATCCACTGTATGGTACTTTTTGCTCCAAGTTGTCCAGCTGTATTTTTGAATGGGACAAGGATGACATCCGACATCTTAAAAAGGCAAAGAAATCAGGGCTTTTAAAACAACATGGAGGTCATATTCCAACAGAAGCCCAAATTATGTCCAGCATCAGCTCCAGTGAGCTGGCCAAGCACTCGAGGAGGAGGACTCGTGGGGTTAAAGAAACCCACACAATGATACAAGAACTGTTGGACTGCATGTGGGAACTGACTGACACCACGGGTCACGCCTCGTAAATCCAGCTAGCATGACACGCGTGTGGGAGGTTCAACAAAAGCACTTACCATGCATCCAAGATCCACCCGGGTCAGCTTTAACCAAAATGGGCTTTGGGTTACAGAAGGGAGACAAGGTCCTGGATGTTCTGAGGTGTGGCAGAGGGTCCTCTTCTCTGGAAAGCTTTCATCGCCACCAGTGCAATTTTATTCCAGGTAAGTTGAAATTGTATGAAAATATCATGTGCATGTATAGGTATATATTTGGCATTAATCATTTATTGTATTTTCATGGTTGCTATTGAATTCTTAATCACAAGAAATTAATTATCTTATGTATTTGTCTGTGGAGGAAGAAATATATATATATATTAACTAAGTAGGGGAAATAATTTACTAAATGCAATTAGTATTTAAATAATGTGAAACATCTTGTCTTTTCAGGGTGGAGATGTAATGCTCTGCACACTCAGATGTACATGCTTGAGGGGGCATCTAGATGGAACATCAACCGAGCTTATCAAGCTGTGGATAGGAGTGGTACATCACAAACTAAAATCTATGATGTGCGTTTGATGTCTCACTGCCGTCCTCAGCAACAGAGTCCTCGAATGTGCACTCCTGCCAGAATTCATACCCCTGGGAAACCCACCGGTAACACTCAACACAAAATTTGTGCTGTTTAGAAGCTGGACTACAATGCATACTGGCAATATGACCGACTGCAACAAGTGATACCATAACAGTGATATATGATGTGTCCGGATGTTACGTTGAATGCATTTCGTTTGGGTTGCGTTCTTCTGTCTGTGTGATTTTATTTTCTTAATTGATTACATTTTTTGTGAGTGATTAAACTAATGTCAAATAACTGAGTATTCATTAACAGCACTACATTCAATAAATATGCCAGGCTTGTTACTTCACTCTGATCTATTCCTCTCAATTCAGAATGTTTTATGGTTCTTTATGGCAGGTGAGCGTATAGCTGTGGAGTACTTGCTGGCACAGTCTGACAGGGGAGACCTGCTGGTTCGGCTGCCGCACGGTGAAATGGGTATCGCTCTGCCAGAGATGCAGGTTGAAAGCCAGGAGGATGAGACACATCCAGATGTCACAATATGTGATCCGGCCGGTCTCAGTTTCAACACTTCACACCCCCAGCTGTCTTAACACGCATGTTGATTCATTCAACTCATCATCTCAGGTAATGTGACACTTTTTGATTTTCAGTCAGTAAAATTACCTATGAAAAATTACTTTACAGGTGCTATGAATGAGTTGTTGTGTGATTAATCTACAAGTAATCATTTTTAATAACCCGAGTTCTCTCTCTCACATGTTTACAACTAAATAATCTAGGAAACCAGTGTTGCAAGTGATGGCTCTCACTTTCCTGACAGTGACATTGAGGACATTAGCTCTGGTGTTTCCCCGCCCATCGCCGCCGGTAAAGTGGCTAACACTTGATCATTTGTGAATTGTGAAGAATAGTTTATCACAGAACTGTTACTGAAATAACTTTTATAATTTAGGATTTGGTTTTTTGTGTGTCCATCTACTTTTTCAGGATGGTCGGTGTGATTCAAAGGGGTGTTCCTGGATGGAGGGCAGTGGATAACTTGGCAGAGTACCTTGTTGGTCTCAACCGCACTATAACTGCTTTGTCAACCACTGAGATATCTCAGATTGTGAGGTTGTATTCTTGTCTGCATGCCATTGACCAGTCTCCAACTAAATATTCGCTTAAATGTAAGAAGAAGACCTTGCCAGGACCTCGGAGAGCTTCCCGGAAGAGAAGTGGCTCGGCACCTGGTCAGCAAGCAGCTGAGAGGTGAATTAAACTTTAGTGGATGCACACATTTTGTAATTTACAAATATAATTAGTATGATCCATTTTATCTCATTAAACAACAGTTAATTCAATTTGGTTGGCTGGGAGGCATTTTAAGAATGCTGATATTTAGCTGGTAACAGCACTGGGACTTTTCATTGTATCAATGTTCACTTTGTGTGTTTGTGGCTTTCATAACTGGCAATATTGTGTCTAAAATATATGTTACTCCAATATTAACTTCTTGTTTATAGAACTTTTGTATAAAAGCAATGTCACATGAGCATGGGTGTTGTTCTGAATATCAGAATGGTTGTGATTACCTGTGGCCCTTGGCCTGTGGCTGAATCACAGCTGTATGATATTCTGGAACAGCAGCAGAATATTGATTACTTTCTTCTATCTTTTTATTCACAGACTGTTCATGACTCATGGCCAGGCTGCCCACGGCCAGCGATACCGTAAACAGGGTTTCGGAATGTGTTGCCATCAGGCTTCTGAAAGAATATCGGGAAGCCAGAAATAGGCCAAAAGATAACAAGGGGAAAACCTTTCCCATTCCCCAGGCAATTGTCATGACATACAGTCACATCAAACAGCTTCTTGAAGACTGCAGAGAGTTACTGGACCAGACCAACTTAGTGCTAGTAACAATAAACAACACCACAGTCTCTTCTTGGTGAGATGTGTTTTGGCTTCCTTGATTCATTTCAATTGGTAAACATTTGTGATATATTTGTATGAACAATATACAGAAATAAAAATTAACTGCAAGTTCATTCTATTGAGAACATCTTATGCAATTCAGTTCAATTACTAAAACTGTCTAATCCGTCCCCCCACCCACAGGCTGCTTGACCGAAAAAAGAGAACGCCGGGACTCCTTGCTGCAAGGAGTGCAGCTTCCTCAGCAGGTAAATTCGCAAAGGATTCCCTGCCAAATGCTAGAGTCTCCCATCTTCACCTGTGGAGCATGGACATGCAGTCATGGAGTTCAAGGAGCCTGAAAACCATGAGGGTGAGGCAATGATTCGCCGACGTCACTGTGGCAGAACTGGGACTGCGCAGTGTCTTCCACCATGCACACACACACTGGGGTAGGACATCTTTACTGGCCTGGGACACAGAATTGTCCTGAGTGGGATTCCGGCAGGGTCAGTTCTTCTGGCTGGTCACCCTATCCACAGGGACCACAACCACACCACTCAGGCAGCCGCCTATCCACGGGACAGCCACCAAATCAGCGCCACTCTCTCAGGCATGGCCGCCCTATCCACGGGACAACCACCAAATCCAGCGCCACTCTCTCAGGCATGGCCGCCCTATCCACTGGGACAACCACCAAATCCAGCGCCACTCTCTCAGGCATGGCCGCCATATTCACTGGGACAACCACCAAATCCAGCGCCACTCTCTCAGGCATGGCCGCCATATCCACTGGGACAACCACCAAATCCAGAGCCAGTCTCTCAGGGATGGTCGACCTATCCACAGGGACAACCGTCAGCTCCTATCTTGGCAGCACCCTCTGGAATCGTCACCGTGAGTGGAGACTACGAAAGACAGTACTGGCAGATCAGGAGCGTGTGGCTAAGGGGAACCGCCTAAAAGCGGCACTACACGAAGGCTACCACTATCAGTGTAAAGACTGTGGTCAAGCAAAAAACAAACTTTCTGGCCATACCCAGTTGAGAGAGGGAAATGGTACTGTCCCGAATCTGGGCAAACCATCACAGAGTGGAAAGCCACCCTTTAAAACTGACTTAGTGTGCCACTTTGTTTAATAACTAATTTTTTTATATATTACTAATGTTTATACGTTACTGATGTTTATATGTTACTGATGTTTATACATTACTGTATTTTATATTACCGATGTTTATACATTACTGATGTTTATATGTTACTGATGTTTATACGTTACTGATGTTTATATATTACTGATGTTTATACGTTACTGATGTTTATCACGTTACTGATGTTTATACGTTACTGATGTTTGTATGTTAAATCTGAGCTTATGTAATAAAGAGGATTTGGGAAAACAAGTGTGTCTTTCATGTTGATCAAGTATTATTGGTATATCTGTTAGGGATGAGGTGGGTGTAAAACGTAATAAGATAATTTTTAACTGTTATTAACTGTCATTTTTGAGAACACTAGGATGGATAATAGCATTTTCCTCCTCCCCTCTTTCCCTCCCTCTTTCCCCCCCTTTCCCCCCTTTTCCCAGCCGCTGCAGTCCCTTTTGCCCTTTTTTTGGCCAGTGGTTAAGGCGATGGACTAGAAATCCATTGGGGTCTCCAGCGGGGTTCGACTCCTGCCAACTCGTCTGAAGTTTGGTTTGCCTTTCAGACAGGCCAGTACTTGGCTAGCAGTGGTGACAATCTTCCTCACTGTGCATTAATTGCTGTTCACAGTTGTTATATACTACAGCTACTGAGGAAACTGGTTTGCCAATTGAACAAACGCAATGCTTTTCATTCTGAGTCGGTGTCATTCCAATGAATGTTCAGGATCTGCCCAGCATCAAAATGGAAAGGGACAATAGCTCTGATGATAGTTCATGTGAAGAAAAAACAAACAAACACACAGTTGGCAGAATAAATTTCACCAAATTCACTGGGAACAGTTCAACTTAATCTGTATGAAGTGAAAAAATGTCACCGTTTCAACATTTCATATAATTGCTGTCACTGAAAGGTATCAAGGCTTTCAGAAAATCACATTAAAACTGAAGTATATGTGATACAATTAGGGGTAACATCCAGAGATACATTGCAGCAGTACAGAAGACAGTAATTTCATATTATTGCTGTCACTGAAAGGTATCAAGGCTTTCAGAAAATCACATTAAAACTGAAGATATATGTGATACAATTGGGGTAACATCAGAGATACATTGCAGCAGGCACAGAAGACAGTAAAGTCAAATACACAGATGAGACTGCCCCAACGAGAAGCACTTACGAATGTAATGCAAATCAAGTTGCTCCTATTTGAAGTAATCGAATGTGGTTTCTTTTGAAAGTATTGGATGTTGTCCAAACTGTTTAACGTTTAATACATTGTAAACCAAAATATAGTATCTTTAGTTGATTGAATTACCCAACATCACCCCAACAAATAGTACTTACCATTCAGGAAGGTCAGAGCCATTGATAGGATATCAACGGTGACAATAAGACAGATAGGTGGTCTACTTCTTTGCATCTTCTCCTGCCATGTTTACCACAACAAATGTAATCACTGCATGCCTGCTTTCCTAGAAGTTGTCCACTGAGAGTTTACCAGTTGACCACTTTTTCATTCTGAGGGGCCTGAGTCAAGTGATGTTCATTTCAATGCTTGGAGTCTGATCGTAACTTGAGATGATTCAGAGTCCAACCCACAGAAGCCAATGTGACAATAGAAGTGATGATGGCAGATCACTCCATGTGAATGAACCAGGTCATTCACACCGTTGACAGGCAGTTATCACGCTAGATTAGAGTAGGTACACAGCCAAATGATGCTCTCACTGATGTATTAAAAAGTATTGCTCTAAGAGATTTCAACACATGTTTCACTAAGCATATGTGCAAAAATTTTAATAGATATGTATAAAGAGAAACACTTTAGTTAGAATCTCGACTACAATGAATGTGATTATAGTTTCACACTCCACATTTGTGGTGTCCAAATTCACTGAAAGTTGCCCCAGCTTGTTAGCGCTTACTTTAAAACTGCAGTAAATGTGCTACAATTAGGGGTGACTTTCAGCCGGCTATCGCAGGACTCACACAAAGTAAGTAATGTCAAATACACAGCTGAGACTGCCCCAAAGAGTAGCACTTATTGATGAAATCAGTGCTTCTATTTCAAGTAATCTAATTGTGCTTTATTTATGTACAGGGAATAGCAATGGTGACAATCTTCCTCAATGAAACTTCATGTGCATTAATTGCTGTTCACAGTTGTTACATACCTGCATGAGAATTTGCCAATGGAATGCTTTTCATTCTGAGTAACCTGAATTTTCATATTTCATATTATTGCTGTTGCTGAAAGATATCAAAGCTTTCAGAAAATCACATTAAAACTGAAATATATGTGATACGATATCGGGTAACACCCAGAGATAAAGAATATGTTTGAATTACATCTTGTAGATTCCTTGAAAACAAAAACAATTGTGCTTGAAAAGTTTTTGAATGTCCTGGAATTTCAATATGAAGCACCCCTTCCAGCGTGTCCCCGCCTTGTGCCCCAAGCCCCTGGGATAGACTCCAGGCTCCATGCGACACGGTGTAGGATAAGCGCTACAGAAAATGGATGGACGTGTCAAAATATTTTATT